TCCTAATTCAGGTTCTATGGGAGGGAGTGAGAGGCTGGTTTTCATGACCCAGCAAAGACACTTTGGCTCCTTTTAAACGGAGCCAAATATTAAATTTTATATTTTAATTTAAATGGAATTAAAGCAAAAGCTTGAGGATCTGTGGTTTGTCCTTAATGAAGGAGAGAAGCCTCCTGCCAAGCCTTCCCTGGGCCTTGGAGGTGGGTGCAGAGGGGCAGACACATCCTCAAATATTAAATTTTATATTTTAATTTAAATGGAATTAAAGCAAAAGCTTGAGGATCTGTGGTTTGTCCTTAATGAAGGAGAGAAGCCTCCTCTGCCAAGCCTTCCCTGGGGCTTGGAGGTGGGTGATGGCAGAGGGAGGGTGCAGAGGGGCAGACACATCCCCTCTGACTCCCTGCTGAATTTGCTGTGCCTCTGCAGGGCTGTAAAATGGTCAGGTGCACTGATTTCCAAACTGCAGGCAAGGAGGAGATGAGGAAGGCTGGAAGGAGATGTGAGGTCAGGCCACAGAATCCCCCGAAGGACTGAGAGCACCTTGGTGAGGCCTCAGGGTGGTGGAGAACCCTTGTGCACTTCCCTCCTGATGATTTTTTCCCCCTCATCAAAAGTGAAGAGGCTGGTGTTGGGGTAAAGAATTAAGGACAATACAGAAAAGGTCAGTCTGGACAGAGAGTTTGTTTAATTTCTTTTTGAGCACTCCTGTGGTAGTTTCTGTAGTGTGACTTGGGCTGTAGCCAGAGCACAGAGTGCTTCGTGCTGGGAGAAGGAAGGGGTGGCTCCTGCTCTTCCATCACCCCAGGCAGGACAAGCTTAGCCTGTGTTTTGCACCCCATATAATTAAGGAGGTGACTGCATATATTCCTCCTCCATGAAGAACCTCTTCTGAGTGAGAAATGGTGCTGCACTTAGGGCTGCACTCACTTTCCAAAGAGGATAATCTGGACTCCCAGAGAATCCATCCTCTGAAACTGCACACCCCAAGCCACCAGAAATGTTCATTGCTGTTATTTTTCATATGGAATTGACACTTAGGTTATATAAATTGTATGCTAAATTACAATAATGTGAATTATTAGCTGAACTAGTGCATTACTGTGGAGGTGTAGATCCCTTTTTTTCCCCTTCACCTCCCTAATTGGTTAGATGTGAAGCTGTTATCTACTTAATGCAATTAAAGGTAATATCTTAGGATAAACACACAACAATAATTCCATGGGCCAGAGCACAAAGAGGGACTTGAATGCAACTTTTGTCTTTGGGTCTGACAAAATATAAGTCATCAAAGTGATAGCAAGTGCAGTAGCCACCCAGTTGTTACTGTGTAATTGAACACAACATTTCGACTAATTTGAAGAGTACTTTGCTTCTTGTTTCTGTTTGTCTGCAAGCACAGTTTAGAAGTGTCACATAGGGCACTATTAATATGTTTTGATTTAGAGCTGTGGAGCATCACATAATTGAACACAACATTTCGACTAATTTGAAGAGTACTTTGCTTCTTGTTTCTGTTTGTCTGCAAGCACAGTTTAGAAGTAAGTGTCACATAGGGCACTATTAATATTTTTTGATTTAGAGCTGTGGAGCATCACGTCAACCCTCTCCTTTCTTCCTCTGCCCTCTGCTGACCTTTTTTGAATTACCTTTCTCGTGTCTTCAAATTTTAGAATAAAAATGGTATCTGAAATTATTATATAATTTCTTTGGCAGAAAATGGCATTTTTTTCCAGTGAATATCTCTTTTGTCAAAGAAACTGCTTCCAGTTTATATCAGAAACAAAATGTTAACAAATTTAACCTTATTTTTCCACACTTTTTTACAACCACACATGGTATATATTTCTGAAGGATGAGGGTGGGGCAAAACAGTTTGGGAATTACACTCCAATCAAGAAAAAACAGCCTTCAAGGCATAACATCATAAAAGTCCTATTTGCAACCTCTGAGGACACATCCCAGGAAGGTATGGAAATAAATATACAGCCATAATACTGCCAGCTGGGGCTAGGTGATGAAAGCTCTAAAATGACAAACTAGATTAAAAAAAACCCTCCAGAGATTTGGGAAGGAGAATTCATCAATGCCAAATTAAGATACACTCAAATATTTCTTGAAAGATAGAACCTCATTATGCTGCTGATTTATGGAGCAAAGTAATGACTGTGGACAGCATTGTCTAAAGACAACAATGAGCACTGCAGTAATAATTAAAGTCACATGAAATCTTCAATTTTTATTGTTTTTGTCTAATTCTAAGATGATTTGTAATAAAGGGGAGAAGATCATCTCACGCAGCAGTCTAAAATGTAATGGAAATACGTGGCCCAAGTTGTTCCCATATTTAAAATATTTAAAATTCTTCTTGCAATGCTGCCCACCAGCAAAATAATAGTAATTTCTGGCAGGAACTGTAAAACCTTAACTATAGCGCAAAGCGTTTTTCACCAAATTACTCACTCTATATCCACAATTACAGCCCATTTTTTTTTTCTTATGCTGATAACAAAAGATACATTTTAAGATCCTCGCTGTGCTACTCTTCCTTTAATAAATAAAGTGAGCTTTTCAAAAGCCGCAAAATGATGCAGATAAAAATCAAAACATTTCTACATTTAAGGATGCAATCAAAGACTTGCCGTGAATGGTGGGATATTAAAGTTAAAAAAAAAAAAAAATCAATTTGCTGTGTATTTCTGACCATAGTTTGTCACAAATACCATTCCCAATAGATAAGAATGATTATATGGTAAAGAGCGTAATTTATATATCTCAAGCATTCTGCTTTTGTCACTGCCATCGTTAAGGAATTTGACACGTTTGCAGGAGAACAATATATGTCAACTGAAATATATACCAATTAGCCCTAAATGGGACACTGAAATGAATGATGCATGTGCATGCTATACTTAAAAGTAATAACATGTGGTTTAAAGTCGCTCGCGTTTTCAAACAAGAATTCTTTTTATGTTGTCATTTAAAAAATCTAATATTTCAAAAGGTCAGGAATAAATAGCACCATTAGCATTAAAAGCTAGCTAAAGGGAAAGTAATTTGTTGTTCATTTAACATTGCATTTTATGTAATAGCTTTGTAAAGTGTTCGGGAGGGGGGGAGAGATTTTACTCTGCTGAAACAGGATGACGGCAGCTCCAGTTCATTATTAAAAGGAGATTTTTTATTATGCTATTGTCAACTTTAACGTCTTGATTCTGTTAGGTGTTTGTTAAAATTACACGGGCTGCTGAAGTGGCTATGGCAAAGGATAATGCTGAGAATATCATAACTGTCAAAACAATTGTGTAGGCAAGAACCTGCTTATTCCAACATAATGGAACAAAAGACAAAGGAGAAACTCTTCTGCAGTGTTAGGAAGTTAATAACCCTGTTGAGGTTTCCTCAGCAGGAGGCACTGAGATCAGGCCACCAAGTCCTGGGAGAGACAAACAGGGAAGGCAGAAGGGAGCAGGGGATGCCAAAGGGATGGGGGCTACATGAAAACCCAATAGCAGACACCAGCTCCCCTGCCCATGGCTATTCAGAAACCCAGAACTGCTTATATTCCTGGAGAGGGTTTGTGTGTTCCTTCAAGGACTGGATGAAGTGTGAAAGCCTCTGTTCCTGTGGCTGGATCCTCTTCCTCCTGCCCAATGCAGCCCTGGGAAGCCAAGGAAGGCATTGCAGGAGCAGCCCAGAGCTGGACTTAGCAGAGCCCAATGCAGGACAAAGAACTCAAATCCTTGCATTTATTAGGCCTGACTCTATTATCCTACCACTATAAGACTGACCACATTTAGGAAAAACTGGAGACAAAATAAATGTCAGCTTTTAAGTGTCCTTCTGGACTGGGAGGAAAGCACACAGAGAGAACTCTGCTGCACTTGCTGCTGCCCGAGGAGCTGCACGGGAGAGGGAATGAGACAGGGGAGATAATCCAGGAATTCAGCAAATTCAACCAGCCTGGTGTTGAATATTTCCAGAGATGGGGAACCTAACACCTCTCAGGGCAACCTGGGCCAGTTTTAGCACTCCTACAGAACTTCTGTAATACAGAACTTCTTGCATAAATCTAATCTAAGTCAAGTAGTACCTTTTAATCTGGGCAAGAAGCAGAAGTGCAGTTTAGAAGGTTTTTAAGCATAAAAGCAAGCCTGCATGTCTCTGACTAAAACTGAAATTGCTGGAGGATATTTTCTTCAGTTGTGTTAAAGCAAGGAGCACTTTGGCTTTTATATAAAGAACTTACTTCAGCCCAGAGCATGCCCATAGGTTGCTAATCTTCAGTACTGATGTTTCTTTGTCTGTTATTTACATCCCCTCTCTCCTTCCCATCACCCTGTGAGAGCTGGCAGAATGCACTCAATTAACAAAAAAACAAAATACAACAACAACAATAAAAAGTCTAACCCAAAAAAAAACACTGGGGTTTTTTTCTATATTAGAAAAGTAGTGCTCCAACACAAAATAAATTGGTTTTCACCTCCATCACTACACAGAATCTAAAGCCTTGCTGGGGGGTGATGTCCTCCAGGACAGGGTGTTTTGGGTGAGGAAAGCTCGCCCAGAGAGACAGAAGGAGCAGATGCCCTAGTGTGGGGAACCTCAGGAGAAATTGAGAGAAGGTCCCCAGGAGGAGAAAATCTGTGTAGCAGCAGATTCACAGCAGTTCTGTGAGGTTTTATCAGTGAGGATGAGATTCCTCTGGCAGCAGAGGAGATGCAGCCCCTTGTCCAGCAGAATGCTCAGAGACACGAGGCAGGATTACATGGGGACAGAAATGAATTTGTTTTCTGTTACCTGCCCCCTTTCCTCTTGCTTGAAATTATTTTGAAACAGGCTGAAATCAAGGGAATTCCTCAACAGGTTTTGGGCACATTCACTCTTAAAGCCACTCTAAAAATTCTCTTTATAGAGATGTATCCACAGATTTAACTCTTCCTCCCAAACCAGCAAAACCCCACCCCAAACAACCCACACCACCAGTATTAAAATTGCAGATTCCAGTGTTTTATGTATGAGTAGCTTTTATTGGTAGCAAGGATTTGGGGATGCAAATGTGCTCTTAGCAAGCAGTCAGGGTCTGCAGGACATCCTCCCTCACGGTCTCAGAGCCACAGAAACGGTACCTGAGGATAAAGGAAATGAGAGCACCTTGAGCTGTCAGCAGCTGTTGAAATTATACAAGTGGTTTTACTTTGATGTTAACACAACCTGATCTGTCATTTCAGGCAACTGAACAGGACAAACAAATTTGAATTGTTACTGCTGTGGAAAACATTGAAAGACTCTATTCATTCTGCTTCATTGCCCACCTTACTTTAATGTTACAGTTTTGGGCTTTTCCCCCAGATTTTCTGCTACCATCTCTATAGAGATGACCACAACTATTTGTGCAAAGGCTAAAAGTCAGTAGAAGGGCGAGTTCCTATCTACAGAAATACACTTTGTCAGCAATGTGCTTTGTTGACTGGGAACTACAACCAGACTTAGGACCTCTGCTTAAGGTGAATTCAAGTGCTGCTTGGCTGCAATAATTTCACTTTGCTTTAAACTGTTTCCACCTCCCATGTTGTCAAGTGGTGGAACATTTGAAAATAGAATAAATAAAATTTAAACTCTGCCTCCTGTTCTAGATACCAACTCATGATGTAGATAAAATAAAATAACTGATCAAAAAATGAAGGAATGTTTAAAAGTCCAGGAAAATTAGTGAAACTGGATCAGTAAACCATGCTTCTATAATCTGAACATCCAAGCCATACTTCACAAAGTCTAGAGAAATCAATTTCAGCCTCTTTCCCTCAGCTTTATATGTACCTTTCAGCGCTGCTCCAATTGTTCCTCATTGGAAAGGTGAGTTTATTATCACCATCCTCTTTAGTCAATCATGACCTTAGGGGTCATCAGTACCAGTGGAATACTTGGCTGGTTCCAGCTGACAGTGAATCAGACCCACAAATAATCTGGTTTTGTGGGTAGTAGGAATTTGGGAAGAATGATGCTGCCAATCTAAGTGTTAATTTCTCTCATCAGAGAAAAGAAATTTTTTTTTCAGAAAGTTTGCTCTTCTAAAGCCTGGATAGATTTTCAGTTTTTCTTTGACGCTATTTAAGGCAAAATGTTGAAGTAGTAGTGAATAGAACTATGGGTGAACAGTGTCTTGAAAGGAAGGAAAGAAAAGGTTTCCTTGAGAATCTTGTCCTTTTAATGCCTTAAATAACTTTTCTTGTGAAAAGGCTTCCACTCCACTTATAATTTTGTCACCTATCTTCTCCAGTAACTTTCAAGTTTTTCACCATGGATATACTCACTCTTTTCCATTTTGCCCAGCTTCTACAGTGACAGTAGCAGCTCCCAGTTTAGGAAGAGATGGGTTTATCACGTTGTTGTTCCAAAGGAACTTAACCTTGCTGATTTCTCCTACATTAACTTCGGCATCAATGTAGGCTGTGTAAGTGTTGCCTGGTTGGAGGGTACCCCTGTGAAAAACAGCATTTTATGGATGTGAGGCATGGCAACGTTTACAGTTAATTACCAGTCTTGTCAAACGCTCTGCCATGGTGGCAAGAGGGTAGAAATTCAGCAGAGAGACAACATTTATGCTATTACATGGTAGCAACATTATTGCCAGATTTCTGATGTCATTCATCCCAAATCACTTTTTCAGAGGCAGCAAAGGCAGGTGGGCCTGAAATGCTGCTTTTTTGTTTCTCACTTCATAAAATTAATTAAAACAGAATTATTAATTACAACTGCAAATTAAGGGTTCTAGAAGAAAAGGTTTTTTTCTATTGAAATTTTAACTTACTTGATGATCTGGTGCTGCTTTGTGTTCCGACTATTGCCATACAGGGCAACATTTACCCGTCCTGTTACTTTGCTCTTTCCAGAGAGGGTCACGGACACTTTGTACCTCCAAACTACACAGAAGAAATAGAATTACTTAGATTGTACCCAAGGAGAAATAGTCCCCAAAATATCAAATTCTAGGGGTTTTTTTGTTTTGTTTTCATGTCTGTACAGTATAGTTGAGAGCAGAAAATACAAAACAGTGAGTCAAATCTGTTTTTATATCCTAATGAGATCAACATGAGAAATGGAAGATATTTGTATTAATTTCTGAAAGAGAAAAAAGAGAAAACTAGTCCATATTGTAGTAAATACAATACAGATCTCAATGCATACAATAAATACATACATCTCAATAAATACAATACAGAATTTTGACCATGAAGGTTTTCATACAGAGTGAAGCTTTATCCCTAAAACCCTTTTATTTCAACTTCACTACCATGAAGTGAAGAGTGAAGTTGAAATAAAAGGGTTTTAGGGATAAATACAGATACAGAATCTAAGCAGCACAAAAGAATTCTGAAGCTCCAGGAAAATAATTTTTGTGGGTGGGAACTTTCTTGTAGAGTGCAGTTAGCAAAAGGAGCTCAAGAAAATTCTGATTTGTTCTTAGAAGGGCAAATTAAGCAATGTGTTGTGAGAGCTGGCATTTAGGATAACTGAGGTTGTAAAGGAGCTCATCTTGTCCATCAGTTCTGAAACCAGCTGTGATCAGCTTGTTCTTGGCCTTTGTCAAATGGACTTTTGGGCATTTCCAATGATGGAGATTTCCCAGCTTCCCGGGCCCCTCTTCCTGTATTTAAACAGTGCCACCGTGATGTAATATTCATAATATTTAATAAGAAATTCCCTTTCTGCAACTTCTGTGCATTGTCTCTCCTCCCTTCTCCTTGAACCTTGCAGTTCTCTAAACATCTCAGTAACCTCCACTAGACTCCAGAGTTTGTCAGCAACTTTCTTGTCCTGTAGAGCCCCAAGCTGGCATTAGTGGTGGGGCAAAGGAGGAAAAAGCATGAAGAACACAAGAGACTTTGCACTGTGATGAGATCTGTTCATCTGCTAAAGTTAACTGTCAAACAGGAAAATAAAAATTTTACGGGGAGTATGTAGCAATGGAAGCATTCAAAACTCACGAGGAAAATCCCTGGCCTCTCCAGTATTCAGGTAAAGTTTTGTGAATTCGCTCTTAATCTTGTCCTTGAATTTGTCAGCATAGTGACCCATATTTGGGCATCCCTCTGCGGGGCATGGGAAACAGCTTCCCTAGTGAAAACAAATATATCTATTAATAACATTATCCAGCCAGACAAGGAAAAGAAAAAAAAAAAGTATTCAAAGGATTTATTTTAAATAATGTTTTCAATAGGGTCCATCCCGAAGCTCTGAGAAATACTTACTTTTTGAAAAAGATCATATGAAGCACAAGTATAGCCTAAAAATCCGTCAGGGTAGATGATACTGTCCGAGTAATACTTGTAACTCCGCAAGTGATTGCAAGCCACGAAGTCCCGAGTTCCTGTGAAAAGATGCCCCCAGGTTGGTTCTCCTTTTGTCTTCCCACTCAAGGAAGGAAACCCATGTCACGAAATGCATCATTCCTCCTCAAGAGCCTCATCTCAGTTCTTGGAGAATCAAACGTGGGGTTGGAACCTTACCTGCTTCTGATGCACTCACCCTCAGGAATGGTTCCCTAGGGAATGTCACTGGCTCAACAGGTATAAAATGTAAACTTGAAATGCTTTGTGGAGACCGACTGTGCAGCTCAGCCCAGCCCCTGTCCCTCAAAAAACCACTTATTCAAGCAATCTGACCGAGTTTAACAATAGAAACCAGAGCTGCCTGAAGCAGGTCTTTTGTAGGCAACAGTTTCATTACCATAACAAAAGAAAACCAAATGAAAAGTATTTAACAGTGAACTTCCTAGGGCAGTGCTGATTTGCTCCAGCTGAGGGCTTCAAAACAAAATTATTATTATTTGGGGGGTACTTAAGAAAGGGAGACTCTTAAAATTAAAATAATGAATATATTATTTTCCTTTGTGTTGCCTGTATTTTCCTGACTTCAGGTTAAAAAGAAGACCGTGTACTACGCAGTTATTTCTTTGTGCTTTAATTCCCCATTATTGATAACAAGTTTACTCTATTAAAAAAAAAAAAAAAAAAAAGAGCGAGAATGAAAAAGTAATGCCTCCAGCTGCATTGAAGAAAACCTGGAGTAAAAGGCTAGCGATCACAAATCAGATAATGGATTCCCAGAGTTTAAGTTGTTTGCAGTAGTGTAAGAAAGAGCTCAAGATAATGTACTGAAAAATCTCCACAGCGGAAATCTTCGAGGTTTTTTATTTATTTTTTTTAATCTTATGTGCAATTTAATTTTGGAAATATACATAGGAATCCTCTGATACTTACAGATTTCATTAGAACCACGTTAAACAACAGTGTATTTGAGCAACTACGTGCCAATCTTTTTTTAGCTGCCTAAAAATAGGCACAATGAGATCACTTCAATGCAATTCTGATTGTAATCTGTAACTTAACAAGGAATCGAATTAATTGCTCTGTCTCCGAAGAATTTCAGCCCAAGACACGCTCCCAGGAGTAGCTGTGAACATCTTTGCCCAATTCCACCAGTGCTGCTGCTGGGCAGTTAGACACAAAATGCAATGTGTTGTTTAAAAACCCTTCAAAATGTTTGGCACAGCTCCAGCAACTTTTGTTTCTGATATTAGATCCTTGAGAGGAAACACATTTTCCAGAGGCAAACCCTTTGTCTTGTTTATTTTTTAATAAGCTCTGGAAAAGTGGTGGGTTTTGAGCATTTTAACTGCTTCGCTGCAGTCTGCAGCTGGTGGATACACAAAATCTAATGTAAAACACCTGAATTAAGGCAAGATAAGTGGCTACACTTCGAGGGCTTCCCCTGAATTTGTAATGCAAACAACACACTTGCCTTCCCAGATGCCATCGAGGTCTACGATCTGTGAAACAGGGTTCTTGTCACACCCGGGCATCTCCACTCCTCCGTTTGGATAAAAGTCGAGATGTCCTATGGCTGGGCGCATGCCAAAACCTGGAGCATTTGAAACAGGGGTAAGCACGATTTGAATGAATGTTGTCTCGTACCTGCAGCTGCTGGCTCCAAGTTTGCCTGTGCACGGCAGTAAATAGTAAATAATCAGTAGAGTAGAGCTGCACACTCACCTAAGTTGGGGATTGTGGGAGCTGTGTCTGTGTGGATAACGTCAACAAATTCTGCATCAGATTTATCCAGTCTGACTTCAATTGGAGTGCCTTGGAAATAAGGTTGGGCAGGGTCCAGTCCTGAGAGAAAAGGAGCAGTGTTACGTATGAACAAAGAAATATAGGTGTAGAATCATTTTACATATCATTGAGTGTATATAATGAATGTCACAAATAGAAATTCTTATATCTAAGTAATACAGGCATTAATAAAATGAGGATGTGTGCTCTCTCTTACCAAATGGCTTTCCTCCCAGGAAGCCTGTTAAATTTCACTGCTTTACATGCTTGCAGCAATACTTGAATGCCAACACTTGGAATTAACTTTTTTTTTTTTTAATTGAACTTCTCTTTAATAACATTACTCAAACTGAGGTTACTGTGTCTGCATCCCAAGTAACTGATCCATCTGCATGGTTTCCAGAGTCCCTTGCTTGAGAGTACTCAGAGGAATTTGTGCTGATAGCACCCCCTGCTTGGAGGTGTTGAAACCTGCCTGCCTACATCAGGCTCCAGTCAGATTTTGGGAAAAACATCTAGTTTTGAAGCAACGAGCTTTGCTTTTGAACCTAGCAGAAAACGGAATCAATTTGCTTCCCAAATTTCTGCAGCAATTTCAGGTGCTTTTAAAGTCTTGGAAATTGCACAGTTTTAACTGCCTTATACTTGCATCTCTTCTTGTCGCTAGGCAGCTTACTTTGAGTTTGCTTTTAAACTGAATTTTGTAGACCGTTAATTTCACCAAGCCTGAAATCCCCAAGGAAAATTAACAATTGAAAAGGATTTTGTTAATAATGTCCAAAATTGTGTTTTATCCATGAAGGGCCACTCTGCTTAATGCACACTGCCCTTGGCATTGCCTACATGATGAATAAGGAGCTCAAACCCATAGCTTTAACCTCTGGAAGTGCTGAACACGTTCAAGAAAATCCCTTAGCTCTGTAACACATGTGCAAGCAAAATAATTATCACACTCTTTCCCCCCGCTTAGCACAGCCCTGCTCCTTGGGGTGCAGTGTGAAAGGAGCATGACATTCCAACTGCCCCTGACTGTTCTGCAGCCCGGAGATGCAATCGTAGTGGGAATGAGAGCGGGTAGCAGGGTTTTGTGTGGCTGTGGTGGCTGCAGGCACTGACCGGTGATTCTGCCGATGCCCGGGCGCCTCCGGCCGGCCTCGCCAGCAACGTGAGCTCCCAGGCTGTGCCCGATGATGTGAACATCTGCCGGGGAGTACCCGTAGTCTTCCTGGCAAAACAGCAAGGAACAAACATCACCTGCTTGCCCCTTTGCATCAGCAGCAGGGAGGATTTGAGAGGGGCTGGAAAACTACACTTAATTTGCCTGCTGGCTCAGGATTTCAGCACCTCTTTGCCAGTTACTTCTGTCCAGCACACAGATTTTCCAAACCTCCTTATTCAGCTGCTGCCCTGGTTTTGGAGGTTGGTATAACTCCAGACAGCTCTGTCAAGAGTCCTGAAAGGCTCTGTATCTTTCCCTTAAGAATACTTGTCTGGCTGGGAAGAATAGGCCAGCCAGGAGCTTTTAGTTACTCCTGGCTGGAGTTACACCTGGTGGAGTTACACTTTTAGTTACGCACAAAGCTGGAGGAGGCCATGAAATGAGAGATGCCTTCAGCCTTTTTGGGCAGGAATTCAGTAGCTGCAATGCAGATGTGGAGAATGAGAGGTGGGCCAGAGCACTGCTAGACCCAGCGCACTCTCTGGTTTTAGTTATTTATAGTTCTTTTATGGGAAATTTGTGTTGAAAGCAATTAGATTAAGAGAAGGCTTCAGACGAAGCTTTGCTGCCAAAGGAGCCACCTCCTGTGGGTTTGGGCACTGTCCACCACAGCTTTCCCTGGGGCAGCTGGTGGGTCCTGCTTGTCCCCAGCCAGTGCTGCCAGCTGGTTTTCTGGTCTTTTTGAGAGCTCATTGGTTCTCTCTCCATGAGAAAGAAGTTTGCCATATCTATTATTTCTGCATATTTCGTTTTACGCTGCATTTGTTAACATCTACAGAGTAACTCTGGCTGTTCTATGAGGATTTCCTTTAGAATTTCCTCTCCTTAAGTTGGCAGGCCTCCCTGCTATCACATAATATTCTCCTTTAAAAAAAAATTGTGCTGTTTGTTTTCAGCACAAATTATTATGGAGTAGAGGACAATATTTTCTGCTGGTCACATCTACATTTGTGCAAGTTCCAGAGCTGTATTTCTTCCAGATGAGCTCTATAGTACAGCTTTAGAAGCAGCAGGCTCTTACCATGAGGACATTGATAAAGTAAGCGATTTCGGCGCCCACGACGCGGACGTTGTTGGCTGCCTGGGTGTACTGACACCTTGCACCTCTCTTCCAGCTCACACAGATGCAGTTCACATCTTCCACAGTAAGCATCCTCTGTTTGGCAAAACAAAAGTAAAAACCGTGGTAAATACAGTGTGAGATCAGTCCATGTTTGTCATTGTGGCTCAGCTATTAAATCCGGTGTGAACTCGTATGAGAATGACTTGAAAACCAAAGCTGTAGCATGGATGTGTGCTCAGAGGGGTTGGTGTGATCACACAATGCTCAAAGAGGGTGATATGTAATGTAGTAATCATTTCAAATACCCAGAGAAGTATTTCTTACAGAAAGGAAAACAAAATCAATAATGAAACTTTGCATTTTTATCTTCAATCAAACTTGGTATGTACCACTAAATAAGAGCTCTACTTATGCTCCTATTTACTTCAGTGATTTAAAAGTACTACTTTTACTCAAATTCAATTAGAATATTTTTGATAGCAAAAGCCAATAATAGTTTTCTGATGCAGATTTGTAAGAAAGAGAATGTTTTCATAAGATGGTGTACAAACTGTTGGTGTTCATTTCGGATTTCTGGCTTTTTTTGGAAATATGCATGTAGAGGCTTTGCCACAGAATCAGAAGCTTTACTGCTCTCCATTGAGCTGGACTGTTTGGCTAAAAGTATTTTGTTTTAGCAGCTTAAGTATATGGCAACCACTGACAAAGGACAAAAAAGGCAATAAAAGTGTCAGTGACCATACTAGAAGTGGTAAAAATCAATATGCAGATAGGATTGTTGCTTAATGGGAAGGAAAACAAGTAACAGATACACATAGGAGGATTGATGTATTCACAATCCCCTTTGCTCTATTCTTTATTGAAAGGATTCACTGAGACCAGTTTGTTTCTAAATATAAACTAGAGTATTGTGATAAAACACAGGCTACTGGAATAGATGAAGAATTTAAGGATTTATCTCATGCCTCTACATCCTGGAAAATTGATCAAATGGATTTAAGGCACAAGCTGAAAAAAAATATTGTGAGCTATCTCATTGATTGTGAAGTTCCAGGAAACAAATCTCTATTTTAAAGTGCAAAATATAAGACAGAAAATTATAAAAACATCAATCTGCTTCTGATACTTGAAACAAATTATTAACTGACAAATCCAACAATCATCCATAGTTTTTCTCTTCTTTTGATCTAGCATCAAAAACAAGCAGGCAGTGGGGATGCAATAAATGTGAAATATCTTGATTTTAGTTTCATGTTGTTCCTCATAGCGTTCTTATAAGTAAAATAGGAACACATTATTTTAAAAAAATTGTATTTCTGTTAATGGTTGAAAAACCTTATCCTCAAAGTGCCATCAAGTAGTGTTTTGCTCTGCTTCATGACCAGGGGCTTTCATTAGCTCTAGCTGCAATTTAAATCATTTTTGGAGGCCTTGAGAAAGCCACAAGCTGGAATTGCACTTTGCATAGGGAGAGAGTTAGGAAACAATTTATGGAATTAGCACAAAAATCAATAAAGCAGAGTGCTTTACTACATTCAGCGCTCATAGCAAGTCCTAGATTGAAAGCTTTGTTTGAAATGCTCCCCCTGAGGTCCCCTTTGCATGTACATTTTTATGTCTTTATAGCTTTTGGCAATGGCCAGCCCGGGTGCTCAGCCTCCTGCACCCATGTGGCAGCCCAAACCTCCCTGATAGCCCTTCCACATCTAGAAACCTTCTCTTGCCTGGGGAAATAGGATGCAGGAGCTCTGAGTCTGCAGCTATTTCTGGAATCACCCCGATCCCAGCCAATATCTTACTCCAGGGTTTGTGGGTTTTTTACCAAGAAAAAGGGCACTTACTGAGTCAAATCTTTTTGTCACTCACTTCACTAAAGAGAAAAGCTGAATGCATTTTACCTCATTATTTCCTCAAGGTGCAAAGCTACATATTCAATTTGGTAACAATCTGAACAGGCAAACTAATTTTTGCTTTCTTATCACCACAAATACCATGAGAAAAATTGGTTAGAAACAGAGGAAACAGACAATTTATAAGAATGTGTTTATAAATGCAAACTGAGGGCATCCCTGTGGTACCTACCTTGCACATGTCTGACAGCCAGTTTTCTTCTCCCTTGTCTACAAATCCATGTACAATAAATCTGGTCTTCCTGTTTGCTTTAAAATTTGAGGCCTTGAGTGTTGCCTTATTAACAGCAGACACCTCCTACATTAATGTAGATATAAAAAAAAATAATTAGCATAGACAAGAACATAATAAACCTTTACATCCACTTTCTGTAAATAAGTTTTCAAAATTGCAAAGATCTGAACCATGCTTATCTGTGCAGGTGTTTAAAAGTTTTGCAATGCTGAACTAATCTGCAAGAATTCACATGAAGGTTCATGTGTATCTCCATTCAAAGTAAATTTTGACACCCACCTTAGAGCAGGCAACACTTCAGCATGCTTTCATTTTATCTGTGGAAAAAAATTTCCCCCAAAATGCTCAGTTCCCAGTACTTCTCAGTGGAGACCCTGCCAAGGAGCTGGAAGAGGTGGTCTTTGGAATAATGTGGGAGTTTGGCCATTTTTAACACTTTTCAGGAGCACAGCTGGAATCTGTGTTTATTTACAAGTTTTGCATGTGGTACACCAATGTATAAACCACAACAGCTCTTACTTGAAAGTTGTCAGGGTTCTCTTTAGTGTACAGGAGGAAATGGGTGTCCACACTCTCTGGTTTCCAGGGTAATTTGTAGATTGGCCTTTCTACAGTCCCAGACCATGGCGCATCATCTGTGAAGCACCCAAGCCTATCATAGCAGACTTCTTTGCCTGTAGCACGAAGAACCAGAAAAAAGAAAAAAAAAGTATGAATGAGCAGAGAAATGGAGCAGTCAGAACTCAGAGCATGGCTTCTCTGGGGGGGTGTCTTTTTTTTTATCCTAGAAAATCCCACAGTTTGCAGAAAGCCAAGACCAGCAGTTGACCTTTCCTAGATCTTGAGGGGCTGCAGTTTAGCCCAAGGACAGAAGCCATGCTATCTCTCATCAGCAAGGTCTTCAGAGGAATTCCTTTGTGGTATCCTTGGGTACCCTCCCCCAGCTGTTGCTTTGCCCAAGGCAGAGACAGCTGATGAGTTTCTCCTAATGCCAGGTGAAAATATTGTAGATAATCAGCAATAAATTGAGACTATGCTGAACAGCTGACTGCACATGGGAAGTCTTGTACTACACAAGCCAGTGTCTTCTGCTGAATACAAAGCTATGCCCGCATTAGCCTGCCTCCTCCCCTTGCCCTGGCTTTTTTTTTTTTCCATTTCCATCATTAATAAGAGTACAAGAAGTAATTTTCTATGTTTAGTAGAGCAGTAGCTTTGTTCTGAGATAGGAAACATCAGCTTTTCTTGCTCACTCTTATGACAGAATTCCCAGAGTGGAGAAAAAAGACAACACTCACACTCTCATCTCATCATTCCTACATGGAAAAGTGATCCACATTAACCTCAATAAATAAGTTTTAAGGCACCGGGGTGTAGAATAACACCTAGAAAATAGGTGGAAAATACAGCAGCATAGAAAGGCAATACAAACACTAACCCCACATGCTTACCTTCTGCTGCGCTGAGCAGAAACAGGGCCAGAATCCAAAATCCAAACATCTGGAACAGTAGAAAAAGAAGCAGCTAGGATTTGCTAACCCACTTGTTTAGAAAGCACACTCAGCCCCCTGGTGCTGAATTTCCTCAGGGTGAACAGAGTGCCTGTTGTTTCTGCAGGATGCATCCCTGACTGCTGTGTGCCAGACGCACTCTGTGGGAGGCAGGTTTGTGTTTGCTTGCTCCATGAGAGATTGGGGGCCATAAATATGTAAAAGCATAACTTAAATCCAGGCTGGCTTTTTTTCCTGCTAATAAAATACTTCTAATATTTTAGAATTAGCATGAGGATTAGAGAACATGAGCTGCCATTCCCCTTCACACTCCTGTGCTGTGAGAAGCCACAAACCTGACAAGGTACAAGGAAAAACCCCCAGACCCGAACTACTTACGATGGAGTCTTGAAGCTCCTGGCACTAATGTGTGAACATTGCATGTACTTTTATAGTCTGCTTTATCCTTGGAAAGGTTCCTAGAAAGATAGGAATATTTGTTTCAGATGATAGTTTATAGATAAGCTAGCAAACAACCTTAATGGTTGGTTTCTCTGATAGCTCCAATATCCATGGACATAGATTCCTTGGATCAGTGAGCTGGATCCCACAATATGTTTGGAGCTCCACAGGCTGGTAATTCCCAGGCAGCAACTCATCAGGAGTGGCTCATGAAAGGGAATTCTATGGATCTGTGTGTCTTGTCTTGACTGGGAAGGCTTTTATTTTTGGTGTTGTATATTTGGGGTGCAAGAGATCTACTGGGGGAGTTATAGGGAACCACATAGTTTTAAGCTCCAGTCCTTGCCCTGTATCAAGTGACTTAAGATGTAAAATGCTCCTGTGTTTTCTAGGCCTTTTGATGAAGGCTTTTCCCTTTTGGAAAACTCTTAGTGGGCATGGTATATTCATTTCACAGTGAAAGAGTCTGACCTTCTGCAGGATCCCTTTAATTTCCTTGCTGAATTAAGTAGAAGGACAGTTGTGTAACCACTGGGATGTAGAAGGACAGTTGTGTAACCACTGGGATCCTTTCTGTACTACCCATGAAACCCAAGCTATGGCTTGCATTTCATAGGTAGTACAGAAAGGATCCCAGTGGTTCCCAGAGAAAAGTTCTGAGAGCTTAACTGAGAGCAAACACACTGGAAATATATACAAATGACATACAGAATTCCCCCAGACACTGGGATATGGCTGGAATGTTACAAAGCTCTGTAGATTGTTATAGTAGAAACATCAATGAAAAGGTGAAAAGTAGCCTGTGCAAAATGAACAAGGCTAGGTCTGGCAACTTCTTGGACCTGTTTGTCTCTAGGAGAAGGCCCTAAGTGAACTCAAGAAATGAGACCTGAGCTGACGCCACTCAGAGAGTTTCATCAGCTTGGCTATGCTTTATGGTCTTATGTTTGCAGAGTTGATGTTCCCTGATCTGCACCTCTGGGAATGACCAAATGGACACCAGGTGTTCCACTGCTATCATCCATGATAGTGGAGTTTATTTCTTCAAACAGCTAAATTTTATTTATTGTTAAGATACCACCTTTGATACTGATTTAGAGCTCTGTGTTCCTGTCTTTAGTTGAAGTGGGATTCTGGTTTGTAAATAGGTTTGTTTTCATGGAATCACACATGCCCCAGTGCACTAGCAAGATTTAACACTTGTTCAAAATGAGGGGGGAATAGTGTTTCCCACTTAATTCAAGTGCTGGTGGAAAATATTTGAGTTGGAATTTTATCTGTTAGTCTGCTGCTTTTATTCAATACTGTAACTTAAGATACCACCTTTGATACTGATTTAGAGCTCTGTGTTCCTGTCTTTAGTTGAAGTGGGATTCTGGTTTGTAAATAGGTTTGTTTTCATACATGCCCCAGTGCACTAGCAAGATTTAACACTTGTTCAAAATGAGGGGGGAACAGTGTTTCCCACTTAATTTAAGAGCTGGTGGAAAAGATTTGGGTTGGATTTTTTTTCTGTTAGTCTGCTGCTGTTATTCAATACTGTAATAATACAGGTGAGACAGAAAAAATGGACAGTTCTTTAGGCCATGGTCAGTTGGATTTCATGCATGCCTCTCATTTTGGAAGGCTGGGCAGAGCTGGGATGCAGTCCCTCAGTACCATGCAGGCTGCTCTGTGCCTGGAGGAGATGCTCTGGTCCTTGTGGCCCCACACTTTGGAAGAAGGATGGGTTTTGATCAAAAAACAAACAAAAAAAAGTAATAAAGTAAGGCACAGCTATGCTTCTGCAGTCCCGAAGAAGGTGTACTCTGGAATAGGAAGCAGGCAGAGGAGAGGACTGGATTTCTGGTGTTCAGGATGCTGCGGCTCTCTCTTGGGACACTGTGGATCTTCCCAGCATTGTTCACTTTTCCTTGCCATGTGTCAATGTCCCAGGAGACTTGCAGGACTCAGAACTGCAGGTCTGTCTGGCTAAACCTCAGTCTTCTGTTTAATTATGGTTTTAATTTTTTTACACTTGTGTTTAATCAAGGATACAACAGGGCTGGTGTTTTTCTTAAAAAAAAATTCATTCAGAAGTCTATACTCATAAATGTGTTGTCATAGTATTTCTACCCCTATTTCTTAGAACTTTATCTGCCCAAGTGCTTGTACGTCATTTATCAAACACAGGGAAAAGGGGGTAAATGAATTATTAACTCTTTCTTCCTCTTCATTAGCTCAAAGTTTGTGTTTTATACTTGGAAAAATATCCACTGTCTTGGTCTCTTACAGCTGCAGGAGGCTCACTCATGCTGTGCTTTGCAGAGCAGTAATTTTAAATGTGAAATGGTCAGTCCCAGGTTTTGCAAACCTGGTTACTCAGGGTTTCTCTTCAGGACTCTCAGTGGCCACTGCAAATATTTGTGTTTGAAATAAAACAGCACCCAGGAGCTGGGATTCAGTGTTTAGCTCCTTTTGAAGTGGGGAGCACCTGAGGTTTGCCTTGCCTGCCTTTTCCAGGCAGGTGCAGGTACAAAGGGCTGGCTCACCTGCTGCAGGAATCCTCTGAGCTGGTGCTGCTCCTGCCCCATCCCAGAGTGTCCTCTGAGGGCACTGCTCCCGCGTGGGGCTGGGAAACCCTGAACAGCAGCACAGGCTGCAGAAAGGAGCTGTTTCAGACCTGCAGGGCTGCTCTGAGGACACGTGTTGCCTTGAGAGTGTTTAATAATATCCCAGATTTATCTATCAGTGTGGTGGGACTCAGTTCTTGCCTTGAGGAACAGATAGAGTGAGACTGCACAGTGTTTTAAATGGGTTTTAGCATCTGTCATTTCTGGTTGCTCCATAGTTACAAGCGCAACAAACGTGGCTCAAACTTGAGAAATATTGACATGTGTGTTTGCAAAGAACTAAAAAAAAACCAAAGGGAACAACATTTTTTTTTTAATTTGCTTTATTTTTTTGTTTTGTGCCAAGATTTCCATGCACAAGACTAAGGGTTTACTCAGCTGCCGTGTACAGACCTTGGGGACCTCTAGCAAGGTGTAAGTAACTGAGGCTCTCCATATGCCACAGTTCCATGGCCACAGAAAGTTGACCTGGGAAAGAAAAAAAAAATGCTTGAATCAAGATTTATCTCTTTTTGCCCAATGAAAAATGAAAGGGTGCCAGCTGTCACCTTGAGGGTTGTTAGTCCAACCCATAATCCCACTGAAGGCTTCCTAATAGCCTTCTGCAAAGATTATTAACATCTGCTATTAACAGTAACAAGGTGGATTTCCTCCTTTTGGGGACCAGCTGTAACATTTGAGGTTTAATATGCTTTATCTTGGTTTGTAATTGTTTTGCTGTGGAAAAGCTAAATATTTCAAATTATTCATTGCTGTATTCCTTCCCAGACAGTTATTCCCTGGTGCATAGTCAAACATCTGATTTTTCTGATTTTTTTCTGTCCAAAGTGCAATGCCATGTATTTTTCCTTATTGAAATTCACATTGTTGATTACAAACCGTGTGTCAATTTTAAGACCATTTCTCCATCTTTTCTCTCAGGGTTTTTTCTCTTCTGAGCTCTAAATGGGATACACTTACCTATGTCCATCTGCTCCATGTATTATATTGACTGTTCCTGCTCCCAGTCTTGCCCAGAGCAGAGAGAATATGGCTTTATTCCAGAGAAATTCAATTTTGGTAGTATTTTTGGGGTTAATTTCAACATCAAGGTACTGTGTGTAAACATCATCTTGAGAGAGGTCTCCACTGCAAAGAGAAGGAAAAACAGCATCACCGAGTTTAACAGTTCAGAGATCATTGAAATAAATCACATGCTCCACATATTTTCATGTTTTCCCTTTTTTTACAATAGAAATTTGCATTTTTGGTGTTCTTTGTAAGAGCACAGGACACTGTACCAGGGCTCTGAATGAGGAGAGGATGAAAAGCAATACAGAATGCCTTAAATGTTCCTGTGGCAGGAGGCCATGGGGAGGTGACAAGAATGACACTGGGGTATCCCCAGAGCCCTTGTGTGCTGAGTTTGCAGGGATCACTCACCTGGAGTTCAGAAACACAGAACTCATGGAAATGGAGATGCCTCCCACTTGCTTTTTACAACCATCCATCTGCCCTCACGGCTCTTAAGTAATAACTTCTTTCCTGATGTGAAGCAGAATATTTGCAATGCAGGATGAGTGTTAGCACTGCTTAAATGTGTGGAAAGTATGCAGATTAGTGCTAGCAGCATTAAATACTGTAGAAAAATATTAATTTAACTTACCTGGCAACTTCATATTCTTTTGTGTTCCCCTGTGTGTCATAGTAAACCAGGTTGATATCTCCCCTCGTTTTCTTGACACCAGACAATTTGATAAACACTTTTTGTCTCCAAGCTGCATAAATAAAACCAAAAATAAATCCAGACTATCACTGGTGAGCTTGAATGCTGCATTTCACGAGTAATGTAGCATTTTCTGTCAGACTATTAGCAGTTATTTATAGAACAGCACAGGTGCAGGGCTGTAAATCACATCGAGGCACTTTTCAGACTTGTGAACAACTGTAACAAACC